ACCTCAAAATACAGGTTGAACCTCCCAAAACCGGGACTCTTTGGCCCGGCAACTATGTTACTGGACCAGGGTGTCTAAGCTGGGACCCCACTGGCAGCAGGGTTGGCAGCTGGGAGCCCTGCTGAGCTCGGAGCCCACCGGGTCTGGTGGCAGCAGGGTTGGGGCTGGGACCGGGGCTGAAGCACCAGTAGCACAGCCAGGGCTGGGGATGCATCAGCTGCATCAGCTCTAGTAGCAAGGCCAGAGCTGGGGACACGGAAGCCCAGGCTGCCAGGACTGCAGCAACACGGCAGCCTTGCAAGAGAGGTGGGTCATGGCAACCTGGCAAGGGTGGGGGGAGGTGGGCTGGGGGTCCAGTAACAGGGAACCTCCCCTGGTCTGGCAAATTCCCTCCTTTGGGAGTGGTCAGGTCCCCAAGAGTGCTGAATCAGAGCACTCTGTATCACCATACGCATTAATTACAATGATTCTCCTTCAGTGGGAAGCTACAAGCCAGCCGATGGAAGGCAAAAGGTACAATTGCTCAGGGATTATTTAAAAGGGCCCGAGGTCTCATGACTGCTGCCAGCAGTGTAGCTGGGTTAAGGAAGGCTTCCTGTCCACTCTTGCTTTGTGACAGTCCCAGAAGCAGCCAGCATATCCCTGTGGTCTCGTGTCTCTGCACACTGCTTGTGTCCCAAGAGCCAAGGCCACAGCTCCCATTGGCTGGGAACTGCAGCCAATGGGAACTTCAGACCCCCTTGGACTTCCCTGCTCCCAGAGGGCTGTGCCAGTTGCTGTAGGGCGCTGTCTGAGGTAAATGCTGCTCACCTGGCCCTCTCCTGCACCCAACCTGCAGTCCCAGTTCAGAGCCCACAACCCACACCCAAACTCCCTCCCAGCACCTGAACCCCACACCCACTCCTGTGCCCAAACTCCCTCCCAGAGACTGCACCCCAGACTCTCTCCTGCACCCAATCCCCCTACCCTAGCCAAGTGAAAGTGAGTGTAGGTCTGAGAGAGAGAGAAACAGGGCGGGGGATGGAGTGAGGGGTCTTGAACAGGACCATTAGCTGCAAAGGTCTACATTGTCTAAGGCCCCATATTTCATAGAGGTGAGGAAAATGAGACTGTAACTAGAAAGCTTGAAAGAATGTAGCAATCATCAGTACAGAGACAGATTTTTCCCCTCCCAGTAGTTTAGCCTGTCCCTAGCTACTAGTCCTTGGCTTTCCTGCCTTCTCTCTCCCATTATAGGCCCTAGCTGGCCTTTACCAGTAGCTTTTTAAGGACAGTCTAATTTATTGATTTTTCTGCTTGCCCTAAAATCTACAGTTGGCTGATAGCTCTTACAAGCAGATTGGTCTGGTTTTGTCTGATTGATATAAAATAGTACTCAGCTAATCATAGAATCATAGAATAATAGGACTGGAAGGGACCTCAAGAGGTCATCGAGTCCAGCCCCCCGCCCTCAAGGCAGGACCAAGCTCCACCTACACCATCCCTGACAGATGTCTATCTAACCTGTTCTTAAATATCTCCAGAGAGGGAGATTCCACCACCTCCCTTGGCAATTTATTCCAATATTTGACCACCCTGACAGTTAGGAATTTTTTCCTAATGTCCAATCTAAACCTCCCCTGCTGCACTTTAAGCCCATTACTCCTTGTCCTGTCCTCAGAAACCAAGAGGAACAAATTTTCGCCTTCCTCCTTGTGACACCCTTTTAGATATTTGAAAACCGCTATCATGTCCCCCCTTAATCTTCTTTTTTCCAAACTAAACAAGCCCAGTTCATGAAGCCTGGCTTCATAGGTCATGTTCTCTAGACCTTTAATCATTCTTGTCGCTCTTCTCTGTACCCTTTCCAATTTCTCCACATCTTTCTTGAAATGTGGCGCCCAGAACTGGACACAGTACTCCAGCTGAGGCCTAACTAGTGCAGAGTAGAGCGGCAGAATGACTTCACGAGTTTTGCTTACAACACACCTGTTGATACAACCTAGAATCATATTTGCTTTTTTGGCAACAGCATCACACTGTTGACTCATATTCAACTTGTGGTCCACTATGACCCCTAGATCCCTTTCTGCCATGCTCCTTCCTAGACAGTCGCTTCCCATCTTGTATGTATGGAACTGATTGTTCCTTCCTAAGTGGAGCACTTTGCATTTGGTGCTAGTTAATTGGTGGTTGTTGATTGCATCAGTAGTTGCTTCCGGATACTGGTGCTAGCCCATTTTGGGCATTCAGGATAAATGGACAAGCTAAGCTGGCTTTTCTCCCTGAATTTTGAATATTTCCCCTCCTATCGAGAGCTCTCTATTCAACTCAGAGGTAGCTTAATTTGAATTAACTATTTTGAATTAAGCTAACTCGAATTAATGCTGTAGTGTAGACGTACCCTTACTGAATTAGAGTCTAAAAGGGAGTATTCAGAACAGCATATTTCTAAACTTATTACAACATTTTGACATTTTAGCTCAATTTTAAATTACTTAGATCAATAAAATGTAGATTATTGACTAACTCTGTAGCAGCAAAATACTTCCACTCATGGATCTGCATGCACAGATTCTTAAAGTTTTGCACTTGCTGATCTAATCTATATAAAGAGGTCTCCAGGGAAGCAACAATAGATTTGTACTTTGACACCAATAATTTTCAAAAATACTTCAGAATTTCAAAATTTGCCTCTGAATACAGGTACTGTGGTTTTACATCCTCCCAAGAGTGTATTAAGATTTATAAGTAAAGAATATATTACATCTTAAGATATTACACATCAGTAGCATAGGAATATGTATTTCCATTTTTATTTGAACTCTTCAGAACTGGAATTCTACATCTGGACAATATATCCAAAAGTGTTTCATAAATTTTCAAACACATTATTTATATATATGGTTTTTCATATCTATCAATATATATATAAAAATATTTTTGAGACTCAAAGACTGAGAAAAGTCAAAATGACATTATTGCTACATTTCCATATTTACAAAAAAATGCATAAAACCATTTAAAACATCAAGCCACTACAAAATAAGGTTCAACCAATCCCAAATTATAAAAATATAAATTTCAATAATATTTGAGACAAAAAACCCTTTCAGCTAAGTGCCTGCAAAGTACCGAGACATCTACAATTATAACAACTAGATTGTCTACAATAGCTCTGAAAGCCAGCACACTAAAAAAGAAGTTTCATAGCATTGAAACAAGAATGCTCAGCAACAGATATCATATGCATAAGAGTGCCCCCAAACAACTGGATAACTTTGGAAAGGTGCAACCGCATAGGTAGGTCCAGTGCAAATGGCTATTTTAAGATTGGTTGACAAATTTCTGTAACTACAAACCAAATACATGGTTGTATAGAATAAAGTATGAAAACATGTGGTATTAAAATTATAAAACCAGTGTGTGCATTTATAGTTATCTTGTTTTGGGCAGTTAGTTGCATATAAAAAAAGTAAATGTAAACTCAAACAACGGGACTGCAATGTTAAGTATAAATTACAGAGTGCTTAAGTGCAGGCGCATTGTAAATAAATAGGTACTTAAATAGTACTGCCCCTACATGTTTCCTTCAATGTTTTTGCTGAATTTTACTTGACAGGAACATAAAAAGAGAAGAACTAGCAGTACATGTGAAGCGTGAGCTGGGAGATAAGGAAGGCTAAGGTTATGTCACTTCCAGAGACCTCCATGACAAAATGGGGTGAGCAGGTTTGGAGCTGTTAGTCAGCGAGGGCTCTGGCACTCCAAAACACAGATCTCACCCCAGTCTACACTTGGGGATAAGTTTGAATTAAGATACGTAGCTTACATTAATTGCGTATCTCAACTTTTGGCGCTGTCCACACTGCAAGAAGTCGAAAGGAGCACACTCTCCCTTCAACTTCCCTTACTCCTCGTGGAAGCAGGATTACCAGTATTGACCAGAATGCCGTCTCAGTTTGAATTAGTGTGTCTTTGTTAGACCCACTAATTCGCACCTAAGAAGATCAACAGCAGCAGCTTCGATCTTATCTGTAGTGTAGACATGATGGACTCAGTTACCACAAGCAGTGAGGGACCCTGCAACTCTCAGCAGTTGCTGGTGCAAGGGGTACCCAGCATTCCAAGTCACTTGCCCTGGAGCTTTAAACTGCTGTGGGAAGCAGGAAGACCATGGAGATCTGAGCCATCAGTCACGCCAGGGGCTGTCAGCCAGAATGGTGGGTGCTGGATCCCCTCCCCTTATCCTACAGCAGGGTTTGGGTTCTCATTCCTTCTAAATCTCATTTTGTCAGCGTTATTTTTAGCAAAGGTCAAGTACAGGTCACGGGCATCCATGAATTTTTCTCTGTCACTGACTTTTACTAAAACTACCGATGAAGACTCTTAACCTTAACAGGGAGAAGTTCTACAATGCTCTCCTTTCCTTGGTGTCTGGAAAGCTTTCCCTAACTGCAGAGTCCTCCAGTAGTCTAGTGGCTGCACAGGGACTTTGAGGGGGGGTGGGGTGAAGGATGTGCCATTCTGATCAATCCCATCCCTTTCATTGTTCACCTCGTGGCATCCAGGTCAGAACACCTGCCTGTGATACTTGTAAGGTTTTAGGCTTGGACACTTGCAAGCAGCTATTTATGTATGTATGTATGTATGTATGTATGTATGTATGTATGTATGTATGTATGTATGTATGTATGTATGTATGTATGTATGTATGTATGTATGTATGTATGTATGTATGTATGTATGTATGTATGTATGTATGTATGTATGTATGTATGTATGTATGTATGTATGTATGTATGTATGTATGTATGTATGTATGTATGTATGTATGTATGTATGTATGTATGTATGTATGTATGTATGTATGTATGTATGTATGTATGTATGTATGTATGTATGTATGTATGTATGTATGTATGTATGTATGTATGTATGTATGTATGTATGTATGTATGTATGTATGTATGTATGTATGTATGTATGTATGTATGTATGTATGTATGTATGTATGTATGTATGTATGTATGTATGTATGTATGTATGTATGTATTTTTCAGTAATGTTTCAAAAAGCCCCCCAACAAACAAGCAATCAGAAAATTACTATTAGCTTTCCAGGCACAGATCTAGAGATGGACTATTTAATAGTTGGTTAGATTTGTATTCATCTAGCTCCACACCCACGCTTAAGATTTAGATTTTGTTTATATGACACCCTACTGCAAATACATACAATATAGCAAAACATATACAGCTGCAGTCAACACTGCAAAAATGGCTGCGGTGGATGAACTAAGTTTATGTGTAACAGTGTGTAGTAAAGGACAGTATTATAGCATATTTAGACTACCCTGCTAGTGAGTAAAGTAAGATAAATCATTAAGGTCTATCCTCCCCTGCCCTCTGCAGAATAAGTATCTAATCCATCTGGGCAGCCTGTTTCCAGATGCCCCTCTCCTCTTTCAAGCATCTTCACGAACCAGAAGGGGCTGAGTAGATGAAGCGCTGCTTCCCACAGAATTAATCCTCACTGAGTGATCTGCAGCATTAACTTGATGGGGTGTAAAGTTAGAGTAAGCCTGGGGAAGACAGAGACCATTGTCAATACCTCACCAAATGCCTCCTCCATTTAAGCAGAACACTCTGTTGCTATTTGTTGCCTTGTTATACAGTAAGCCTTGCTAACATCTATGGAGGAAATTTGTTACCTTGGTAAACTGTAGTACATCTTGAAGCAGAATTTAGAGTGCCTCAAATTAACTGTTTTCTAAAATGGATCAGAAAACTAATCTCAGTTATTAAAAAAGACAGGAAATTTTGTAAGGTAATTTAAACAGAAATATTAGAAATATTTTAATCCAAATCTTTGAAAATTCCTCCAATAATATCACACTTTTCTTCACATTTTTGCTTTTGTTTCAGTAACCATTGTAGCTTGCCAAAAACATTTTAAAGGAATCAACTGAACCTTAGCAGTTTTCAGTTTCCTCATTTCTCAACTTAACGGGGACCACTAATGTTTGTGTCAAAGCGAAACATCTAGAACTTCTAACGAACCTTTGTTTTTAATCCAGAAGAATCAACCTCATATATGGCCACATAATCTTTAGAAGCAACTCTGTAAATCATTCTCCATAGGAAAAAATCTGTGTCTCTAAAATGGCATAATTCCTCCCTTAAGTACTTATGTCCACTTATCCACTCACAAATTGTATTACTAGGATATGGCCCAAAGAAACAGAGCACAGCAAGATGCTAGTTTCCAATACTTACACTGCAAGGTGGAGGCACCATGGCCAAGATTTTTAAAGGTTTGTAGGCACTGCTTCACTCAACACTGCAATACAGGTTGCACTGCTAAAATCTGGGATTCACTGGTCCGGCAACATCCATGGTCCGGCATGGCCATGGAGGTTCCAGGATCAGAGAGTCCTGGCGCGATGCAGGGTGGTAGGGGCCCAGGAGCCTGCACGCAGCTCAGTTGGGCTGCGAAAGGGGCTGAAGCTGCGTTGCTCATCTAGACTACGAGGTGGGGCAGGAAGCCAGCACATGGCTCAGCTGAGTTGCCAGGGGAGCCAGGAGCTGGCACGTGGCTCAGTTGGGCTGCAAGGGGGGGCTGGAGCTATGTGGCTCATCTGGGCTGCAGGGGTAGGGGGTGGCGGGAGCCAGCGCACGGCTCAGTTGGGCTGCGGGAGGGGCTGTGAGCTAGCATGCGGCTCAGCTGGCCTAAAGGGGAGCTAGAAAGCTGGAAGAGGGGTGGAGCTGAAATGACCTCCCCCGGTCCGGAAAAATCCTTTATCCGGGACCAGTCAGGTCCCGAAGGTGCCAGACCAGGGAGGTCCAATCTGTGATTTAGAAACCTACATCTCATTTTCGAAAGTGACATAGGCACTTAGGAGCCTAAGTTTCACTGATAAAATAACAGAACAGACTGATCAAAAAGTAAAGAGAGAGGCCAAATCCAGAAAGTGTATCACTTAGCCTTTCAAACAAAAGAAAAGGTGCATTCCTGACTGATACATCCACAATAATGAGATTCCATGTAAACAGATTAGTCTGTGTTTTAAGAAATCAAGAGCTATGACCATATTTTATGAGAAAATCAACAGTACCTTGGCACATACATTTTCAAAAACATACTCTGTAATTTGTGTTTATTTTATTTTATGCAGATACATAATTTTCAAAAATTAGTGTGAGCATACTATTTGTGAGGGTATGATACAGCTAAGGAGAGCTAGCGGTAAATCTGAAAATCATCCTAACAGGAAAAATGTATAGTGCAAAAGTACATAAATAAAAAAAGACTTCTCCTCTCTTTTTAGAGTCTTATTCAAAATCACACAGGTTTTTGGAAAATGTAACGCTGAATATTTAAGATCCATATAGAAACTCTTACTTACATGGTTTCCATTATCTGAAAGCTGCTGCTCAATTAGCTGTACAATTTGCTTAAATGTTGGTCTCTGTACAGGATCAGCATCCCAGCAACTCTTCATTATCTCATACCTGCAAATATGTTAAATGAAATATTATTAGTTGAGAATTTCAACTAGAAATATTTTCTGTATTAAAACTTGATTATTATTTGTATGGGTTAAAATAAATTGAAGTTATATGGTATAACAGTAGCAACTTATTTAAACATTTCAAACAGAACTAAGTTAAACCATTTAAGCAAATTTTGTAAGAGTAGAAATAGTGTCACTATTGTCTATGAATACTATGGACCAATTGACTATGAATACGAAGGACCCACTACTGCTGAGATTCTGGGGGGGAGGGAACTTCCTTTGACAGTAATGAAAGTTCTGCATAAAGAGTTGCTATAGCACGATAGCTACCTATTTCCAGATTATGTGTCTGATATTGACATTTAAAAACACACTAAATTGGGAATCGCTAGTAAACAAGATGCTTGGACTATCTTATTCCAATCAGGAAATGGAACACAACTATAAGAATTGCATAAGAAGGTGCATTTTAAACAGTTTATCTCAACTGAAACTGTTTAACATTCTCTGTGAATTAGCTTTATTTGTGTAACTTAGAATTCATGACAGAGCTATTAGATCACAAAAGGTTCACAATATGTGGGTGTTATACAATTAAAGCTACTTCAGCTGTGGAAAATTTGAAGAAAAAAAAAAGTCAACATTAGAAGGTTCATTTAGCCCATATCTGGAAGCTTTACTTCCTTTGTTTCAAATACGACTGGCTGATTAGTAGCAAAAGCCTATCTCTTACATTTCAACAGGTGCACATTCTGGACTAAACATTCTGTATCCTTCCTTAATCATTTTATAAAACTTGGAGTCCACAGGCATTCCAGGGTAAGGGCTGCTTCCTGTGGATACAACATTTAATTGATCAATGCCATTTTAAAATCAGAAATAAACTCTAGGTGAAATACGGAATACACATTCAGCCAATAAAAATCTTACCTAAAGAAAACAGTTCCCAAAGTAATATTCCGTAAGACCAGACATCGCTCTCAAAGGTATATACACAGTTGAAAATACTTTCAGGAGCCATCCACTTTACAGGAAGCCGAGCCTTTGCAAAGATTGTGGATGAAAAAGAAAATGAGACAATCAGCTAAGAACGTTTCAAAACATCAAATGTACAATGATATAATGGTTACCTTTTTTGTATATTATGAGTGAAGTGGAATTCTATCTGCAAGTCAGAGTGCTGACATCTCATACAACTACTGATCCATCACTGTACAGGCTTTCTACATTTATACAGTGTCGAGTATCAGAGGGGTGGCCGTGTTAGTCTGAATCTGCAAAAGCGGCAAGGAGTCTTGTGGCACCTTATAGACTAACCGAAGTGTTGGAGCATAAGCTTTCATGGGCAAAGACCCACTTTGTCAGATGCATGTAGTGGAAATTTCCAGAGGCAGGTATAAATATGCAAGCCAGAATCAGGCTAGAGATGATGAGGTGGCTCCAATCAGGGAGGATGAGGCCCACTTCTAGTAGCTGATCTGGAGGTATGAATACCAAGAGAGGAGAAGCTGCTTTTGTAGTTTGCTAGTTATTCACAGTCTTTGTTTAATCCTGAGTTGTGCCACTGGACTCCTCCCCGCTTTTGCATTTATACAGTTCCTTGAACTCTGATTAGCTTAAGTATCTGATTTGCATACCTGTTATATAGTTGTTTTTTTAAAATAGTGTGTGACTCCCTGTATCTGCTTTAAAAAGGATGATAGCCAATTGGAGTGCAAGGATTTGTATCACCATGGTATAGCTGTTTAAAATAATAAGCCCCTGAATATGCATTTCTCTTTATTGGATAGGCTATTATGCTTACACAGTTCTGACACACCCCAGCTTTTCAAGCACACAACAAAGTAGCTGCTTTAGCTTTTAACACACACATACACTCTGTTCCCCCTCAAAAAATGCAAACTGCTGAAAAGGAAATGGTTAAAAAAAAGTGTTCAAAACCTCTTGATTCATTTCCTTTCTTTCCTCTCATTCCTTTGATCTTTCTGCTGTCCCCAGAATGTTTGTATTGCTATAGGAGAATCTCAGCCCTTTCCTTCTAACTTAATTTTGAAACAATGTATACGAAAATATATTACAGCTTCTCAGTTTAGAAGTCCTTGATGTCTGTGGGGAAGAAAAGAAAAAGAGAAGGTAGAGAAAAGGGTAATGGCTTTCTATCAGCTGCCTAGTACTACAGGTGATTCTAACGTGACTGGAGTGGTTGACCATTTGAGTTATTGGTTGTTTACTAAATGAAATATATAGCCGCAATCGTTAGATACTGGAATAATTTTTGGCTGAGTTAAAATGATCAAATATTCTTTTTCACCAATCCTGCAGCAACTTGCAGCAGAAGTGGCTGTCCTCATTGTCCAGGGCATCAATGTTCCCATTAAACCAAGCTGGGTTTAAGATCAGACCAGACACAACTCAAGGAATTCCTCTCCTCCTCCCCCCACACACAGAAGCCCCAGCTTCCTTTCTTTCCTGTCAGCTTCTGCCTATTCTTCTCCAACCTTCTCAGATTACAAAAAATCCTATTGTCAAGCAGCCCACTTCAACCTAAACATAGTCTAGACAAAAGAAATGTAATTAATTACTGCCCCTGCTGGCCAGCACTTAAAATCCTTGATGCATAGGAGATCAAGCAGATCTTGACTCAAGGTTGAAAATAAAACCTGGCTTCTTCCATCAGTTTCTTTCTAAATGCCACTGAGCAATATTCAGCAGATATTTTACTAACCCAACCTTGCTGCTTTACTGAACTCTTTCTCTGACATCAGTTGTATCCTATACTGAATTTTGGGAGCAGCACACATGTCTGGGGCAGATCTCCTAACTCAGCTGACAAAGTCAGTCTTCTTCACATTACCCTGAAATGATCACATTCTGATTACCTCAGAGAATGCCTCTCTCGGCCTCATATCATGTGAGATCATCTGAGGCACCTAAGTTGTCACCCATTGGCTACGTCTACACTGGCATGATTTTCCGGAAATGCTTTTAACGGAAAAGTTTTCCGTTAAAAGCATTTTCGGAAAAGCGCGTCTAGATTGGCAGGACGCTTTTCTGGAAAAGCACTTTTTCCGGAAAAGCGTCCGTGGCCAATCTAGACGCGCTTTTCCGCAAAAAAGCCCTGATCGTCATTTTCGCGATTGGTGCTTTTTTGTGGAAAACACTACTGTGCTGTCTACACTGGCCCTTTTCCGGAACAGTTTTCCGGAAAAAGACTTTTGCCAGAACGGAAGCTGCATAGTTTTTCTGGAAAAGCACTGATGATTTTACATTAGATCGTCAGTGCTTTTCCGGAAATTCAAGCGGCCAGTGTAGACAGCTGGCAAGGTTTTCCAGAAAAGCAGCTGATTTTCCGGATAACTTTCCAGTGTAGACACAGCCATTGAGTTTATTCAGGAGGAAAAAGCACTTTTGGAGTAGAGAGGGACTGTGGAATTCTCTATCCTTGACAGCTTTTTTGTATCTTCAGCTATTTGGCAATTAAGACAATTTAGGATGCTTCCTAGGCAAGTACTTTCATTTCCTTTGACGAAATATTTTGAGTCATTCTTGATATCTCTAGCAAGGTCAAAGTCACAATTTTCTGTTATTTTGACCATAAGGGTATATCTACACTGCAGCACTATTTCAGGATACTTCCAGTATCCCAAAAAAGCTTATTCAGCATCTTGACAGTGTGCCTGTTATTTCAAAACATCTTTCAAAATAACAGGCGCACTATTCCGACATCCCAGTAAACCTCGTTTTATGAAGATTAAAGGACTAGTCAGAATAGTGGTCTATTTTGAAATTGGCGCTGTCTATCTTGAAATAAGCTTGAAATAAGTTACGCAATTTGGGTAGCTCAAATTGCGTAGCTTATTTCGAGCTAAAGGTGCCGTATAGAAGTACCCTACGTGAGACGAATGCTGCCAGACCCATTTGTTCTCCTGGGCTTTTCCTTGAGAGGAGCAATGAATTCATAGCTAGTGAATAGTGGTAGATTTCTAGTTGTGGAACAGTCAGGGAGAATTTGAGGATTTCATTTTGTTGAACACAGGTCCTATTTTTTTATAAACTGAACAAATATAAATGGATGGTCTGGGAGATTTCTGGAAAAGTCACATGTATTTGAAGTGACAAAGATTATCTATCTATCTATCTATCATTATGGCTACAAAACATAATGAAACAGCAATATTTGACTTTCTTTGGAAAGTGGTCTTAGTCTAATTAAGAATAGTCTGGAAATGAGTATTCACACTTTTCTCTGTTGGTCCATAATGTCACATCTCTCTCCAAGCCATAGAGAAACCGGATCTGCAACTCCAAGGGTGTGTCTAGACTACAGGGTTTTGTCGACAAAAGTGGACTTTTGTTGACAAAACTATACTTGCGTCCACACTGTCTTTGAGTTATGTCGACATAACGTCGACAAAACTCAGCAGTTTTGTCGACGTAGGTAAACCTCATTCTACGAGGAATAATGCCTTTTGTCGACAGAGTTCTGTCAATAGAAGGCATTATTGCATCTACATTGTCCTTTGCGTCCACACTCTTATGTCGACAAAGCGGCTTGCTTTGTCGACAGAACTGGATGTAGTCTAGACGCTCTATGTCAACATCAATTTTGTCAACAGATTCTGTCGACAAAACTTATGTTGACGTAAGCCTGTAGTCTAGACATACCCCAAGTGTCAGGTTATGTCTGTTGCATATATAAAGTAAATCAGTTTATTTGCTAACCTAAGAATATGGAATCAAGGAAAAGCAAGCCTACTTCTGCTTTCCCACTTTGCCCTACTCAATAAAATCTCACATTTAGAACACAACTCCTGTTATCTGCATGATATTTATAACAAAGCAAACACCATAAAACCTGATTTTAGATTTTTTTAAGAATACTTATTTTAATAATTAACCAAATACAGCACCATTAAGTTTAAAGGATTGAAAAATAACTAAATCTTAGAAAAGGATTTATTTGGCAATTCAGACAATTTAGGATGCTTCCTAGTCAAGTACTTACATTTCCTTTGACTACATAATTTGAGTCATTCTTGATATCTCTAGCAAGGCCAAAGTCACAAATTTTTGTTATTCGACCATGAGTGAGAAGAATGTTTCTTGCCGCCAAATCCCTATGAATGCACTAAAGCAATAAAACAAACAAAACACAGGAAATTATTTTTGTGGAACTACAGTACTTTTCACTACTGATGCAGAATTGCTGACTGAGTTTGTGTGTGTTTTCTTCAATACACATGTATTTAACTATACATAATATATAGTACAAACTACTACTCAAAGTGTTTGAGTTTAAAAAGCTTACATGGCTATATGGTTTAAAAAGCTTTATAGCACAATAGTTTTACTGAAACATACTGCTGTCTATAATTAAGGTGGCCTCAGCCATTAGGAAGGGCCATTTTCAGTTCCTTATAACTTTCTTAAGAGTTTTACACTTTCAGTTAAAGTTCAGTATGCTTGCTCTGAGCTAGAAAGATAATTTTCATAAAAATTTCAAAAAAATGATTGGGCTATTTTCAAATACAGTCAGAGTGGGAAAATGCTATTTGTTTTTAAGGAAAAAAATACAATTTTTTGTAAAAAAACAATTTTCATAACTGAGGGGAAGGTGACAAACTAGAAAATAGGCAAGACTATAGGGTCAAAAATTCAAAAGCCTTTATACTACTCAGAAACCTAATTCTTATTTTCAAAACAGACTGAGGTTTTCATTAAGACTTACACTCCTAACTACCTGTGTCAATTTAGAAAATTGGTCTTTAGGCACATCAGAAAAGTTTACATTAGGCCGTAGATATGCTCTTCACTGAACCTGTTAAATAAGAGAGGATTTTGCCAAATTAAAATTTTGTTTATAATGTACTCTGCGCATGGGTAATGTCTTATGTTAAATAACTAAACTAATTATCTTCCAGCAACAAGTATCTGTGCATAAGTAATGGGCATATATGGAAGGAGACAGGATCTAAAAGTTGTCTCTTCTCCCATGTAATGAAGAAAGGAACATGTGGAATGATTCAAAGGCTTCTGTCTCATTGGCTGTATATACCATACTGAACAGGGCTTGTTCGGGATTGGATGGCACCAAAGGCCAAATAGAGCTTTTATTACACTGGCTGTGTACTCCAGGAGAGTAAGCAAATGCTATCGTCAAAATCCTCAACCCAAACTGTAGGATATAGGAAGCAACAACAGAAGAGGACCTGTTGCTCCCGCTTTCTCCATATACACAAAGTTAGTGGACTTTGTGAATATGGTGCACACACCCTTCCAACTATTCATCTCTATTCCTCCCTTCATGCTCTGGCCACGTAGCCACAGCATTGTTCTGTCCCATGGTACACGAAAGGAGTTCGCCAATTCCCAGTGCCCTCAGTAGTGGAAATGCAGCAATTCTGCTGCATTTTGAGCCCTGACACCCAGATGTAGCCTTGAGGTTTTTCTTTATGCAAGTACAGGTTGCACCTCCATAAACTGGAACTTACTGCCACGGATGTTCCAGGATCAGAGAGTACTGACACATTGCGGAAGGTGGAGGACTGGGTTCTCGGCATGCTGCGGGAGGGTGGGTGGAGGGGCAATGTTCAGGCCAGTTGGGCTCGGAGGAAGTGTCTGTGTGTGTGGGGGGGATGGGGATGGGAATAAGCTGGAAAGCCTGGTATGCGGCTCAACTGGGCTGGGGAGGCAGGTTAGGGGGTCGGCTGGCAGCAAGGAGACCAGAAATGACTATCCCTAGTCCAGCAAAATCCCTCATCCAAGACCAGTCAGGTCCCCAGAGTTCCAGACCAGAAAGCTCTAACCTGTAAAGTCCAGGGAAAAATAATTCTGAGTAGAGTGCAAACCTCTTGGCTAGTGAAAAGCAAGAGTAGTTTTACGGAATAGTCTAGTGAAGTCTTCATGGTAGAGCAGAAACCCCTTTATTTGAAATGTTTGTTAAAAAGATTACTGAGCAGAAGGAACAGTCATGTTTTAAAATGCCAATATGTGAAGAAAATCAAAGTCTTTGGATATTGCCTGTCACTCAAATTCACAACTTACGTTTTTGGAGGCAAGGAAGCTCATGCCCTTAGCCACCTGATAAGAAAAACTCAGTAGATCTTCAACATCCAGAGCTAATTCATCATCTTCTAATATTGCAATGGTAACGTCTCGATCAATATATGATCCTAAGCAACACAAATGTAAACAATTTTAAATGGACTAGTTTTGATTGCATGAACCATATTTGACTTACATTTTTCAAAATATGATGTTGAATAAATATGCAAACTCAAGCCACACAAACACAGAATTGTAGGACTGGAAGGGACCTTGAGATGTTTTTAGACCAGTACCTTGCACTCATTGCAAAACTAAGTATTATCTAAACCATCCGTTACCAGTGTTTGTCTAATCTGCTTTTAAAAATCTTCAGTGATGGAGATTTCACAACCTCCCTAAGCAATTTATTCCAGTGCTTGACCATCCTAACACTCAGAACCTAAACCACCTTTACTGCAATTTAAGACCATTGCCTCTTGTCCTGTTCTCAGAGGTGCAGGACAATTTTCTTCATCATGTAACATCATCTTGTAACAAACTTCTATGTTCTTGAATACTGTTGTGTCCCCTCTCAGTCTTCTCTTCTCCAAGTAAAATAAACCCATTTTTTCCCAATATTGACTCATAGGTCATGTTTTGTAAAACTTTAAATAATTTTTGCTGCTCTTCTCTGGATTTGTTCACATTCTCCAATTTTCTCCAACTTTCCTGAAATATGGCACCCAGAACTGGAACCAATACTCCAGTTGAGGCCTAATCAGCATGGAGCAGAGCAGGAGAATTACTTCTTCTGTCTTGCTTATAACACTCCTGTTAATATATCCCAGAAGAATATTTGCTCTTTTTGCAATAGTTTTACACCGATGACTTCATCTTTAGCTTGTGAATCACTACGATTCCCACATCCCTTTCTGCAGTATTCCTTCCTAGGCAATCGCTTCCCATTTTGTATGCATGCGTCTGATTGTTCCCTCCTAAATGGAGTACTTTGGATTTGTCCTTATTGAATTTCATCCTATTTACTTCAGACCACTTCTCTAATTTGTCCAGATCATTTTGAATTGTAATCCTATCTTCCAAAGTACTTGCAATACCGCCCAACTTAGTATCTTCTCCAAACTTTATGGCTACATCTACACTGGCCTCTAATTCCGGAAAAGTCATGCTTTGCATGACTTTTCCGGAATTAGGGGCCAGTGTAGACGTAGCCTATAAGTGTACTTTCTTAATGTAAGAGGGGGAATGGTCCCGCTATTGTGGGGAACTTTCCTGGCTTCTATACTACCCTGGTGAAATGGACCAGCGAAAGGATCTGAGTCCCCGCTCACACTTCCTTTACCCAAAGGCCTCCCTGACTCTGAGGGCTCCCCTTCCACTCTCCTGAGTAGCAGCATTCTCGAAATCCCAACAAGGCTGAATCCCCAACCTTGTAGTCACTTGGGGCAGGAGATAGGGAGTCCCCACTCCAGGGTGCTCTCTTCACACTGGATGCTTTCCTGACCCACTGATCATTACATACAGTTCAAAGTGAATACAATTTATTAAACAGCAACTGATTAAAAAGAAAAGAATAAGGAAAAAATGAAAACGGTTAAAAGAGAACACATAGCCCCACTCTGTAGCACGGGGACATCACAAACAGCAGTTTACAGAGTATAAGGACAGTTCACAGTCTGTTCTTTATAGGTCCCAGGGCTCTCTCTCAGGCCTTGGCTGTGCTGCAGGGAGGGGGGCTGCAGGTTGGACACGCTTGCTTTGGCAGTGTCCACACGACTTCAGGCTCTAGGTGGCAGGACCCCTCTCCCAGCTGGCCTGCAGGGCCTCTTGGCTGGTGGTGTCTCCCTGCCCAGATCCTCTTTTCCCCCCTTTGCTGGTCTCAGCTGCTCACCACACCCAGCTCCAGAGTATGCTGTTTTGTCAGCCTCCAGCTCCTTGCTTGCTTCTCTGACCCTTTTGGCTCTGGTCATTGTAGGTCTGCTTCTCACCACAGGGTCTGAGCTCTTTGGGCTGGGTGGGCCTCTGTCTGTCACTGTAGGTCTGCTCCTCAGCACAGCTTAGACCCCTTGCTGCTCTTCTTAGCTCTCTCCCCCTTTGACTCAGAGACTCAGAAAATCCCAGCTCACAGGGAGGATGGGACTTGGCCTCCTAATTCCCTCATTGGTCTGTCCAACCTGTCAATCAGGCTGACCTGGAGTGTTGGCTTCTTCCCATTGTCCCTGGGGACTGTCAAGTCCCAGGGGCCTGATTTCTCATGGACTCTTCCCCTTTGGTGTTGGGAGCTGGCCAACAAAAAACTCCCACTGAGTTTTAGTAAGGAGCTAACAGTCCCCTTACATGCGCCATCATCTAAGTCACTGACGAAGTTATTGAACAGATCTGGACCCAGAACTGATCCCTGTGGGACCCCGCTTGATATGTTCATGGATGTGAACCATTGATAACTACAATTATTCATCTATTTTATAAGAGCTCCATCTATGCTGTATTTCCCAAGTTTGTTTATGAGATAGTTATGTGAGACAGTATCAAAAGCCTTACTGAAGTCAAGATATACCACATCTACCACTATTCCTCCTGCACAAGGCTTGTTACTCTGTCAAAGAAAGCTATTAGGTTGGTTTGACATGATTTGTCTTGACAAATCCATACTGAATATTTCTTATCGTCTTATTATCTTATAGGCATTTGCAAATTGATTGCTTAATTATTAACTCTATTATCTCTCCAAGTACTGAAGATAAACTGACAAGTCTATAGTTCCCTAGGTTGTCCTTATTCTTCTTTTTCATAAATTGGCATATTGTCTAGGTAATTTTAACTTGTTCTTTCCCCTATTTTAGCTTCTGATCCTACCTCATTTTCTCTGGCATTTTCAATATTAGATGTCCAATTTCTATTAAAACTTTTTGGTCAAAACAAAAAAATCATTTAGCACTTCTGCTATTGCCACATTTTCTGTTATTGTTCCCCTCCACGCACACATATTGAGTAATGGAGCCACCCCTGTTCTTGGTCTTCCTCTTGCTTCTAATGATAATATCCATGATCAAAATGAAATCAGAAAGAAATATGAAGCCACCGTTTTCGTTAAACTTATTATTTTTCTTTTTAACTCCTGGTTCATTGAACTTGGGTTTTAATTGGGCATTTCTGTCAGCAAAGATTCTTCAAAATTGGAAACCTTCTCCCTCCCCACCAGAAAGCCCTCTTTGTACTGTAGGATGTGGGGTAGATTTTTGGATAAGTACTTACCTGTCCTCCCTGATCTTCTTTTATCTGCTTTTGGTGGAACAACATAAGAGACTCCTGGTTTCATGTCCATGTATTCATTGATGACATCACTGTGTTGATAATTTAATATAACAACAGTAAGAACAAATCTGAATCTAATTTTTTTTTATAAATTAATTAACATTGGAGAAGCATAGGGTTGTGATTGTTAGTTATTTTTAAAAAGAAAACAAATATGCTATACTGAGAGTAATGAGATTTGACAAAATAGGTTGTAAAGATGTGCATTATGGAATAGTAATGGTCTGATATCAAAGTCTGCAGTTTAGCTCAGGTAGGCACCCAAAAGTTTTGTTTGCATTATTTATAATTAAGGTTGAGTGTGTAAAAGAAATGACTAGATGTTTCAGAATACATTCTAATGTTTCCTTCTATTCAGGTCAGCTTCTATCACTATAGTATCAGTAATTCACGCATCAGTTGAAATTCAGAAGATAAAACTAGGGAGAAAAGTTAACTTAAAATATCAGAATTTCCAAAAGGGTTTAAGTTTGGTTTCAGGAATCAGCATAACTAGAGAGAATCTGTATTTTTAAAAAATCAGTTTCCCATCCCTACACATGTTCTAGTCTATGGACTCTAATTTTATATAGTTCATAAATATGTACCTATTATTTACAATAATAATGATGAATATTTTGCCATTTAATTTCTTTTTGAACTATATGTAGGGATGTAAAATCCCATTTAATCACTTAACTGATTAAATGTTAGGTTTACATGGTTAACTGATTAAGCAGGATCTCATGGGGCTTATTCCTCCTGGCCCCAGCTCACCCCTCCACTGAATGGCAGAGACCTCTAGGCTGTCACACAGCATCGATTCAACAGCACACAGCATGTGAAAATTTGGTAAAGACTCTACAGTCTGACACTCCCATCCAGCCTTCTTCAAAGGAGTGCTGTATGAAACTCAAAACATTCTCAATTTTACATCATATCTGTAAGATGGCACCTCCAGCAGGAGAATCACAAGCTCATGGTGGCACTGAAATGGGAACACCAGAAGCACTTCTTTAAAGACACAACGTTGTCTTCTATGTACTGATCTAGCATGACTATTCTTCTCTTCAAGATATAAAGCACAATGGTGATGGGGCAGACACATCCTTAAAACCAAAGGGACATAACTTCCTACTTTAGCAAAGTGCTTTGATGCCTGCTAAGAGCTCTAATGGGGTCTTTTTAAGTTCAGTTTGCTAAGTAGAGTATTAGGTCAATGCTGCAAAGTATAGATTCAAATATAGAGAAGGTCTGCTGTACAAATGAAGGTTTGGTAAATGACATCTCCAATACTATAAAGAAATGAAGGAATTAAAATAACCTTTGCATGGGGACACGAGTATGTGAAAATATAAGAAGGAACAATTAGGGTGTGTATTAAATGGAATACTTCAATAATATACAAGTGGATGAAAAATAGAAAAAAAAAGTATAAGAGCAATGGTTGGTGAAATCTTAGCAGGGTCTTTTGTCACAAGACCTCGTGGGATTTAATGCACTACTGAAAGGCATCATTTTTATTTTAAAGTAATTGCAAATGCAGGAACTGGTAATACAGAGTGCTATAACCCAACTACATTGGCGTACTGTCATTTATATTGCAAACTGATCGATACCAATCATAAGTAGTAATAACAAATATAAATAAAGATGAAAGTTTTTGATCCAAGGAGTGGCACTGGACACAACCACAGAAAAGCCATTGAAGCAATAAAAATAGAAGTGTATGAAATGATTTGATCTATAATCTTTAAAAATAAGACACAGACAACTTGTAAAATTTAAATAATCTTTTTAAATAAGCTGATTTTTAAAAATAACTTGATGCAATCCTTAGAAAACACTATACAAAAGCCTTCTTGTGATTTCTTTTCACTAGATCTCAGCTTTGATTTACCCTCCCTCTGAACTTTCTGCTACGCCTTTATGTATTGGCAGATCATCCTTACCATGCAGACTCTTTTTGATGCAGAAGGTTCTCATAAGCTGCCGTTTCTGCACATTCGTCATGCTTTGGGCAAATAAATGAATCGCGTTTCCTTCTCAGAAAATTCAAAAGATCACCATAGCAGCAATATTCCGTGATGACCAGAGTGGGACCTACAGATGCAGAGGGAGTTTAATGGGGGAGAGCATAAGCTTTGCTTTCAGAGTCAAAAATCTTATACAAAAATATTATTCAACTAAAAACACAACATGTCCTATTTTAAGTCACACTACACAGCACTGTCAAGACATGAAAAGTCATAGTGAAGTTACAGCAGCAGTTCCCTTATTCATGGACTAGTTGCTATTGTGCAATTAAAGCTATGTCATTCCCAATTAATTTTTCCCCATCAATAGTATCACATTGTATACAAATTAAACAAACAAGTCTTTTTCCCCTCTTCAAGTGATAATGCTTCTGGCCAGACACATCTGTATGATTTTGCTCACTTCCTGAAGGAAGTTATTTGTTCCAAACATTAGAATAAGAAGCTTCAAACATTAATCCTTTTGATTCACTTCTGTTTACAGTACAGCTTCAAGTTCTTTCACCAATTATTTTAAATAATGAAGGGTGTTATGCTCTGCAGTATAATGGGAAAAATCATTCACACAGAACAGCTTGCTGAGACAGAAAACTAAGTGACATTAGATCTTAGAGTATTAAAATAAAATTTAAAAGGGGAATTAAAATTCACCTACAGCATAGATGTTTATAAACCATATATATGTTTTTGAATAAATGACTGCAACGATAGCACTTGAATATGTAATAACTCTGCCTATTATTTTATTTGTAGGGTAGTTTTTCAGTTTTTCTTTAGGTTAATAATTGTGACTTTCATAAGATCTACTATAGTTATTATAATTTAGATTATGTCAGGATTATTATAAACCCGATATTTTCTAAGCTTATGCTTTATAAAAATCTCTTTATTGTATGAAATAGTTCGTGAATTGACTTTGGCCAGAGATTTTGCTTTGTGGCTCATCTGACCCCAATGCTGTCAGTTACTTTTTAATTATGCAAAGGTGAAAATGTGGAATGTTTTGCCTAAATCCAGAACTCTGAATTTTCCCAAGTTTTTCCTTTTAAAAGTAAAATGGGGAAGTTAAAAAATACAAATATTTTCAGTAGCATTACATGCAGGTTCCAAATTTAAGTGCACAAAAGTTAAGAAAGGGGTGGGTGAGATTGTGGCCTGCACTATGCAGGGGGTCAGACTAGATGATCATAATGGTCCCTTCTGACCTTTAAGTCTATGAGTAAATGACTGTATGCAAGCTTCAATTATTTGTTGCATTTTATTATGTGTGCATGTTAACATTACTATTTGTGTTCTTTTATATATCTATATCTATATAAAATAAAATACTCAGGATGTGCAATGTAAACAAAGTTACTTACTGTGAGAACATTACATTTTTCATTTTTTGACTGATAAATGTTTAGAATTAGTAGCCCTAAACTTACATTAATGTTTTTCAGTTTAAATAGATTATCTGAGGACTATACAGATAATACATTTATCAGCTATACAGTAGACAGTAATGAATTCATCAGACACTAATAACACATAAAAGCATGGAAATGTAGGGCTGAAAAGGACCTCAGGAGGACCAAGAGAGTCTCTAAACCATCTTTGACAGATGGTTTGTCCTACTTGTTCTTAAAAGCCTCTAATCTCCCTTGGAAGCCTATTTCAGAACTTAGGGGCTCTTATACTCAAAGTTTTTTGGAATAGCTAGCCTAAATCTCCCTTGCTGCACATTAAATCCATTACTTTTTATCTTATCTTCAGTGGACATAGAGAACAATTGATCCTCTTTTAGCAGACCTTAGACTATTTGAAAGCTGTTATCAGGTATATACTACCTTTTCTTTGCTCAAAATTAAATATGCCCTTTCAACATCTATTGTCATTTTTAGAAGCTGACATTGATGAAGACAAACATAAACAGCCCATTTTGTGAAAGAGGAAGCTATTTTATGTGCTAACCCAATAGAGTCGAGAAATGGACCATTTACTGGATCATGTCAACAAAAATCTAATCTTCTGTTCTAGTCCAAATTACAGAGGTCTTGGGGGACATGTTTTTTAATATGGTCTGAGGACCTGAAGATCTCACGTGAGAAAGTTAAACATTTCATCATGATCATGACTAAGCAATTGAAGTCTTTTATAGAATACATTTATTTTTCTGACAATAAGGCATTTACAAAAATCCAATAATCTTGTAACTTTACCTCCAATCGTGCAGGCTCCAAGAAGATTCACAATATTAATATGGTTACCAAGGTAACTTAGAACTTTGAGCTCAGACATTAATGCTTCCCTCTCCGTTAAATGGGCACTTGCTAGAATAAGAAACATATCATTCAGCAAATTTAATACATAGGCGAAGAAAGTTAGGAAAAAAGAATATTGTACATAGTAGAAACTTACGTTTGAGCATTTTTACTGCTACTGTCATTGCAGCATCAGATTTAAACAGACCATATGCAGTAGCCTCCACAACTTTCCCAAAAGCTCCAGCACCAAGAGTTTTACCTAAAAATTGCCAGACACCTTTTAATGGGTATAACACAATTCTACTTATCAGTGGTTCTCTTTGCTTTATAATAAAAAGAGATCAGTAGTAGATTATTGAATCAATTTAAGACTATTTATTCTTCTAAAGGGAAATGGAAGTAGTTTAAGACAGGAAACTTTTTTTCTCAAACTGAATGCAGAAGGAGCAGTTGTCATTATTATATACTAATATATAACATAATATACTAATGAGAACACAAATCATGTTTCCATGACAAGTCTCAGATTATAGGGACTGAAAATTTCACATTGAAGATGAAGTTAAATAAACCTAAACTAACCAAAACTCAATCGATTTCTAGGAAACTCCCATTTTTGATCATAAGGAAGTTGTGTTGGGTCTATGTAAACATAGTTGTTTCCATTTATTTCTTCAACGACTTTCCACTGAACTTCATATTTGGGTTTCTGGAAAAAAAAATGAAAAATGGCCATTTCACTGCTAAAACTTCAACAAGAACAGCTACAATAAATGTGCGCATCTAATTTTACCTGTAAATATTTGTACATGAGAATCATTACTATGATGCACATCAGTCCTGCTGCAACTCCAAACCCTATCAGTAAAGGAGTGAAGAGGGTGTGGGTACTGATATGTTCTACAAAGAGACAGAGAAAACTCTGTTTAAATATTGAACAAGAAACGTAACATTTAAGTGACCATTAAATGTCAAATCTTTATCCCCTTAATTGTTTTTCTTGCCCAGGGACTAGTCTCTTTGTTTCTACTGAAGCCCAGATGATTTTCCCTTTCTTCACCCCTCGCTTGCCCCACGAGGCTGAATAGCAGAACCATTCTAATGGAAAGAACTGTAAGAAGGAAAGAACTCAAGACATCTCTTTACCCGTCTCTTTCTTCAACACCCTGCCCCATCAACCTAGGAAGCATGAAACCAAAACCAATAAAACTCAGGCTTTCAGCATGATAGCACAAAGGCTGCATGATAGCCTGCTCTCTTCAATTATTTCTAGCTTTAAAAACAGGGTTTGTTTCATATTAATTTGTTAACTGAACTTTTCTCAAAGTCCAAATTTCTTATCTTATCCAATGATTAATATACTGGGCATAACATAGTGTTTGGCAGACAGAGCATGGAGAGTAACATGACCTTGTAAAGATCAATATGACTAATATTTGACTCACTTTGTATATTATATATGGCATATAATATAGAAAAAAGAACAGCACAAAAACCTTAGTTTTTTCAAAGAAGAAAGCATCAAAGAACAAAATACAGGTTGTAACCGATAAATGTTTTGGCATTTGCACTTTTACTATTCTGCAATTATTTTTTATGCGGCTATAGAAGTCAAAACTCATTAGTAAATGCTAATTGGTGTGTCTGTAATACGTTCATTATTTTCATTTATGGTGGCACTTACATGCTGCAACTAAGCTTGAGGCCCCATTGTATTTGGCTCCATATAAACATGTAACCTAATTTAAGACAGTCCCTGCCTGACACAGCTTACAGTCTAATAAAAAAGGACAGACAAAGGAGGGAGAGGGCACAGAGAGGGAATGTTATGAATAGGTCAGTGGCAGAAAGTTAGTGGCAGACTGGTACTCTGGACATTGCACACAAGATGGAAGAAAATGGAAGCTAACGGATTTCAGTTTTAAACATTTACTAGGCTGTAACAGTCAAACATTTAAGAAGCATGACAGAAAATGCAGCGGAATATATTACTCAGCTACTGTACCAGAGATACAAATACACAGGCAATGTATTTAAAATATGAGTCTCACTGTAATCATTTGTGATGCACAGAGCTAAAACATCCCATCATCTTAATTACATTTTATACCAGTACTATATGTGATTTGGGTCACTAACCTTTAATTGCAAAATTGAAAAAAGCAGAACTTCTGGCAACATCATTGGAAGCCTCACATGAAATGGTGCCATTGTTTCTGAACGTGCTGGCATCAATGGTACTTTCAACTACTATTCTTCCAAATGATGGAACTGATGAATTTCTATAACTGATCTTCACATCCACTGGAGATATAGCTGGTGAATCAAAACATCTGGGAGAAACACTGTTGATAATTACCCCCTTATAGAGAAACATTTGGAGTAAATTCTCCATTATTTCAATGTTATTTCATTATCTCTATTTTTATTTCAATTTAAGATAAAGTTTGATATTTATAACTAGATCCTTAGCTAGTGCGAACTGACACAGCTCCATTGAAGTACTGAGCTGAAGAACTTGCTTTTTATACTCATGGTATCTGAAATATATTTTTTCCTCTGCATGCAGAAATTATACATGCAAATTCTCCATGACAACTTAACTGATACCTACACAGAGTCGGTCTCTGTTCTGCTCTAGTGGCTACTCCACACATACATATTTATGAGTCTGCTGCACACCTTTGAGCTATGGAACTGGGCTTTTCAGCTCAGGCTTTCAGAACTTTTCAGATCCTGGTGTTAGCTTCCACTTCTTAACAATTTATTCAGAGATGCCCTGTTCTAATAAGACAAAATATATCTGTGGCCAACTTACAATAGCACCACGTGTATGAAAGAACAACATAACATCTTATGAGGCACTGTTGGGTGTTTCTAAGAGTTACCCTATGAGCTGGTTAAGAAAAGTATGTTTATTCTTTTTTAGACTAGTCAATTATGTTAAAATTAGGTCTGTCAAGTGATTAAATCGTGATGAATCACGTGCACCTCCCTTCTGAAATGCTGCGGCAGCATTTCAACAGGGCAGCGCTGCATGGAGCCCAGGATCAGCTGGGGACTCCAGCTGATCCCCGGCTCCACTGTTGCAAAGCCCCTTTGAAGCGCCGGAGCAGCACTTCAAAGGGGCTTTGCAACGCGGAGCCGGGGATCAGCTGGGCACTCCAGCTGATCCCCAGCTCCACTTGCGTTGCCCCTTTGAAGTGCTGGAGTGTTACTTCAAAGGGGTGGCACAGCATTAACACCTGCGATTAACGCGTTAAGTCTTACGAAGACTTAAAATCAGAATATTTAAAGCTTAAGAAAAATTATTCTGGGGAGTAATATGTAACTTGTTGGTATTATATCTCTGACAGAAGAAGTGAAGAGTATTTTACAATGTGTTTCATAAATACTCTACCTCAGTCTTCCTGGAGATGTGGTAATTTTCATAGTAAGTCCAGACACATTTAACATAAAATCTACTGTGCATACATGGAAATATCATTATCCTGTGTCCTGGAAATGTGTGTTGTTACATGATACAGTAAAACTCCATTAGTCTGGCATCCAATGCTCCGGCACGCCTGATGGCCCGGCACCATCAGGAACCCGGAAGTGCTCGGGGCAGCTGGACAATTGGAGCTGCTCTGCGCCTGGCTTCCCCGATTCAGCCGCTGCTGGTCAGTTTCAGCAGCGGCTGAATAGGGGCGCCTGTGGCAGAGCAGCTGGGGTGCTGCCGGGTTGGTTCCATAGCGCTGCCCCTCGGGGCTGTGGGACCAACTCGGCAGCACCCTAGCTGCTCTTGTGGAGGCTTGGAGCAGAGCAGCCGGAGTGCTGCTGGGCTGGTCCCAGAGCTGCTCTGCCCCAGGCTTCCCAGAATCAGCCGCTGGTCAGTTTCAGCAGCGGCTGAATAGGGGCGCCTGGGGCAGAGCAGCTGGGGTGCTGCTGGGGTGGTCCCGCAGCGCCGAGGAGCAGAGCTACG